CACACACACACACACACACACACACACACACACACACACACACACACTATGGTCACCTTCCTCCCCGACATCCAACCCACTCCAGAAAATAAATCTGTTGCCTCTCTCCTTGTTGAAGTGTCTCTAAGACAAAGCATCTCACTCTCTGCTTACACTACGCAACTGCACTCTCCGTCTATTTACGTCTTTTTGTGTGTATATGTGTGTGTGCGTGTGCCTGTGTGTGCTTTCGAAGGCAACGGGTTCATTTCATTCCCAACGCTCCAGTGAGCTTACTCAGCAGAACTAGGTCAGACCAAGTTTATTTGTGACAAAATTAAAGCAACATAAAACCAAACAAAATGTGTGTTGGGTCCGTCAGCCTATGGAGGAGCCGAGGAGACACACAGATAGACGGACCGACAGACAGCAGAGTGAGACATGTGAGAGGGGGGTGTGTGTGTGTGTGTGTGTGTGTACAGCTCTGATGTGTATTGAGAAGAAAGTCCATTACCTCGACCACATTTCATTTTTAAATAGGGTTTCTCCTTGTGCCGCCTGTAAAGGCTTGATGGGTGTGTGTGTGTGTGAGAGAGAGAGAGAGAGAGCGAGAGATGGAAAATGACAGCCTTCTGCTAAGAAAAGAGGTGGCAGGAAAGAGGAGGAACGAAGAACCCTTTCATTAACATGATGCAGTCAAGGTTTCACTCAATCAACCAATGAACGTGTTGCACTGTGTCACCTTGGTCATGTAAACCTGCTGATCATACGTCGGTGATTGTTTTTTCCTCTGTTGATATCAAGGTGATTTTAACTATGAGAACTAAGATCTCTAAAATCTGTGCTCTACTATGCATTTAGAGTAGGGATGGGTCTCTGCAGATACAGACACTGCAACACATTTGTAGCGATTGCGACAACAAAAAACCAAGATGGCGGCGGCAAAAAACACAGATTGCGACGAACAAAAACCAAGATGGAGACCGCCAAAAACCAAGACGGCAACGGCCAAAATGCCAAACTCTTCGCTTCAAAACGCCAGACCACAAAACAATTGGTGCACTCACACAGTCTATAGCTCTGACAACTTGACGGAGTAGGAGAGGGGGGCGGTGCTTAGCAAAGGGTCATTTGGATATTCAGTTTCAGTTATAAAGTTAAACATATACAGTATATACCTGCAAGGTTGAATGGGTTAGAAAGAAGTGAGCATTGCATAAGACGACTAAGTGTTAAGTAGTTTGAGATAAAATGACATCCCTTTCCTCAGCACCATGGAACAATGAATCTCATTGGACTGCTGTGAATAATTGATTATCGATTGGCAGCAGCCGAGAGAGGAAACCGATACCAACCGAGTTCACTTGCATTACATTGGAAGCGATTCAAAGATCAAAGTAAATGGTTTCAAATGTGAGCGTCTGTAAAAGGACACCCGACTCCTGGTCCATGCTACTGTGACAAATGAAAAGCACACTGACAGACCAAGACGCCATTACATCAGCGTGCTCAGAGGCATATCGTCGTTTTCAAACCTGCACTCATTCAGGTAAAGTGTGACGGAGGAAGCACACGCCGATGAGGCATTTTTGAAACGGGGTTTCAACCCATCAAACTTCTTGTTAGTTCCAATGGGAGCTGCTCAAACCGCTCAAAGTGCTCTATGAGGAACACATAACAGCTGTGACAGTAAGCCTGGAACATAACGTGTATTGCACAGTCAAAAGGATGCACGACACTATACAAGGTTAACACTATTAGCATCTCTTATAAAAACAGATGGGCTGTAGCTTCCTACAAACACTCTGCAGGCTCAGCAAGAGGACCTGCTACTCAACTACACATCATTGTTTTCAACATCTTCCCACTTTCTAAAACCATGCCTTGTTCTTTATTCCCTATAAAATCCTCCAGTCATCCCTCCCTCTTGCTCTCTGGTTCACTTCAAGGTGTCCCGGTGTATAATCCTCGTCAGGAGAAAAGCTGCAGCAGATGAGTCCGACACTGCTTGCTGAATTATTGATCGATCCATTACATCACATGCACGCAACAACCCCTAAAGACACACAGCAACACACACAAGTGGACAGACCCAAGACAATGTCCTCAAACACCTCTAAAGTTCTTCTCATCCACCTTTACACCATAAACCTGTCTTCAAAGATTCTTTTCCCTTCATCTCTGCGAGACTCCTGCAGAAAAGCTGCGTCATTAAATCTCTTCAAGCTGAGAGCAGGGCACCGGCCCTCTTTAATAATTACAGTCAAAATGGTCGATGGAGGGCAAATCCTTAATGCTTTCCCATAGTACACCGAGGCTTTTGGTAATCAGGTTTGAAGCTAAATGTATCAGTAAGGCAGACTGAGGCTGAGAGGTAGAATGAAACGGGGAGCAGCGCAATCTTGTTTTATTTAAAAGTGCACCAACACAAAAGATAAACAAAAGTAATGTGGAATAAAGTGTGACCAAAATAAAACCGAGTGAGGACTTCAGCAACAATACAAAGAGCTGCATATTCATGAATATATCTGCCTATTTCCACTGACACCCCCCCCCCCACCCTATCCATCCCACCCCCCAGATTCATACCCATAATGCTCTTGGCCTGGATACATAATCCAGAGTGAATTCATAATTCATCCCCCTACTGAGCCATTGTAAACTCTATAGCATAACTGGTGACAAACGTCTTTAAAATGAGCCCATGTTTGTGTGTTAGCGTGTCAGAGGATCTAACGGCCTGAGTCAAACACTTTCGTTGTGCATGATGCCGTTGGAAGTTCACATTACCTTTGTTTCAAAACAAAAGCAGCAGCACAAACCCAGCTGTGGTGAACAACACATCACCAAAGCAGCTGACTGAAGCTGCTTTCAGCCGCTCTGCACACAAATACACAGATGCAGATAAAAACACACAGAGACCACAACGAGTACTGACCAATGAAGCGCGCCGTAGCCTGCGGCTCATGGGTTTGTCAAAGGGCGGGCTGTTCATGGCGAACTTCTCCAAGTAGCCCTCCGGTAGCCGGATGTCAGCGGGGAGAGACAAACGTTTGTTTATGTCCTGAAACGGAGAGAGGGAGAGGGAGAAAGGGGACGAAATATAAATCACACATTATTAAAGTAGCTTTTTTACAAGATTGGGTGCACTTTTTTACTGACTCTCAATGGCTCTCAACATGGCGACGGCTGAGCTGGTGGCTTGCAGCTAATGATGCCGACAGTGCAAACATAGAAATAGAATAGGAGTAGGACAGACATTGAACTGTTTCCGAGGTCATTTGACTACACACAGAAAATGGTGATTGTTGTTAGTTGTTATGGTGACAGACGGGTGGCTAGCTAGTTAGCTAGTTAGCTTGTTGTTCTCCGGAGCAGCGGGGAGTGAGGTGGAGGGACCGTTAGACCAATCAGCCCGCTGTTCCACTCATTTCCTGTACCCAGTGTAGCATTTAAGCACGGTGGAATTAGCAAGCTAGCTAACTAGCCAGCTGCCCACTAGTTGGCGAGCTAGCTTATCTTAGCTCGTCATTCATCTGTTGATAGCAATGTGCTTTCCTACATTGTGACAAAAGTGTGTAGATGAAGCAATTTTACAACAGGCACAATGGCAGAACAGTACAGATAAAAATGGCCGCCGCCGCCGCTCTGACCCCCCCCGCTACGTTCATTTGAATGGGAACTCCAGTGTATCTCTACATAGATAAAAGCTGCTTGCTGCTATATTAAAGCTGCCGTACATTGCACCTTTAACAAGAGCTGAACATCTATCAACCACAATTTATTTTTCTTGAATTGAAACCCAATGACAGTGGAGGCATGCATGCGTATTCTATACCCGTTATAAACAACTTAGATGTGTTTAAACATAGAATATTCACTTCTACAGCAGTGATGCCTGAATATGAGAAGATATATTACATAGTTGATGTGATCATGTTCTATTCTTGTCTCTGTATATATGTCTTCTGTCTGTAGCTTTGTGTTGTATTATTGCCTGAATGAGATTACCCGAGTAGATAAAGGCTGGATTATAAAAAATAAAAACATGTAATTTGGCATCTTTAAAATGTTCCGTACTGTGATGTAAATGAATAAATAAAAGCATGAAGCGAATATAGTCACATTTTAAGATGTAAATAGTTTATTAACCAACATCAACAGCAGACTTAATTTAGTCTTCTTAATTAATTTAATCGCTTCTCATCACCTGACATTATGTGACTTCATATTTCTTGGGAATTTATCAGTTCTTTAAAGACTTTGACTAAATTGATCACCGGGACATTTTATTTTAGAGTGTGTGTACTTGTAGTAATCAACACTTAAATCAAAGGGCGACACAGACCCACCAAGAGTTCATTGTCTCTGCAAAATATCTGTGTTTCCTATGATTTATTTATATGGTAAATAAAACTTGGAGGCAAACTAATCTAGACAAATTAAACAAAACAACTTATGAATAAAATAACTGAATACTACCACCAAATAAATGTTCTGCATTATTGTGTTATTATAACAGTGAATAACCACATCAGCTGGAATAACTTTCCCCTCCCGACCCCCTTTGCTCGAATACAATTTAAGTGGTGCTATTTTTCCCACAATGCATCAGCCCTATATGTGCCATCCACGTAGGACGTGTTCGCTGGTAAGATGCCGTTCATGCGTCGTCTGCATGGCAGCGGTGGCCCGGCTGGCCCGGTCCCAACAGCCCCGCGGTGCGTGTCCTCGGTGCAGCGCGTGTGAACTGATATGTGTGTTTACATGTGAGCGTTCGTGGGGGTGGGGGGGTACTCCTGAAGATGAAAGGCAGAGGGATTTCACGGCTGTAATGGTTTCATCTGGCTAACGTAACAACACGCCGTATTACACGGGAGCCGTCACCTTGAGGACGGTTACAAACTGAAGGAGACGCTCTGCAGACTGCATGAGCACGCTATGAAATAATAAGCTGCTGCGCGCGCGCGC